CCCTCAGCAGCCCTCGCAGGCCAGGTCCCTCCCAGGCCAGGTCTGGCGGTGCGGGTCCCGCAGTGGGTGGAACCCAAAGGCCCCAGGTCCCCAGCCGCACGGTGCTGGCCTTGGGGACTTGGAGCGGTGGTGCGGGAGCCCAGGTGGCCGGGCTGCTGGGGCTGCAGATACACCGGCCGCTCAGGAGGCTTCTGGGACGTGGAGGTGATGGAAAACCATGCTGCGGGTTCAACTTTAAAAACTGTTACAGCAAAAGCCGCACTGCCACGAAGCCCCTCAAAATCCTCCCCTGGCTCTGCACACCCTCATCCCATCTCCTCACCACCTCCCGCAGCAGCTCTGGAGTCCTCTCTCCTGAGGGTCTTTAGCTGCGCTGGCCTGGCTGCCTCCATGTCCTGAGTGGATTCAAAACGTCTCCCTCTCCTGGTCATTGTGACTTTGGGGAAGAGAGGGAAGTCGCAGTGTCAGATTCCGTGACGAAGGTTGAGAAGACACAGCATTGTGGGGTGTTTTTGGTACTGGGGATTGAACTCAGGTCCTTGTGCTTGTGAAGCAGCTGCCGGAACCACTGAGCTAAATCCCCAGCCCCTCACTGTGTCCTCATTTGACAGAAATTGCTGCAAACCTTCAGAAGCAATTTCAGTCATCCACGAAGACACTCATGAAAGAGGACTCTGGAGCTGTCTCGGAAACACTGATTTAAACACTCACCCTGCTTCTGGCCCCACGTGCATGCTCTGGAGATGTGAGGTGCCCTGTATCGAGTGAGATGGGACAGGGTGGTGACCATACCAGTGGTGGAAACTCAGACTGAGGGCTCCCGGGTCTTTTGAGCTCACTCAGGGTTGGCCAAGAGCTGTGCACAGTGGAGACTCACAGGTCCAGGGGGGCCCACGGTGCCTGCTACTCTGTGTCCTGGGGCCCTGCACTGCCTGTGAACTCACTGGGTCAGGGAGCCAGGCCGGCGCAGGGGCTCCCACACTGCCAGCAGCAGGTGCCGCTCAGCATCCCCACAGGGCCCCTGCCACCTCCCGCCACAGCCCCCGGGCTTGCCCTGCCCCAGTGGCTCATGGGAGTGGGCACTGTGCCATACGCAGACCCAGCCTCAGTCCATCCTGTGGCCACTGCTAGGGCTGACTCAGCCCCAGACAGGTCATCTGGGGGACCCCATTGTGAGAGCTCCTGGGGCAGCTCTCTGCCCAGGCACCGCCCACAGGGTCCCTGTGAGGAAGAACCACTGCTCCCCAAGCAACCCAAGGAAGGATTTAGCGGAAACCTAGCCCTTGCATCTGGGAAGAGGGACAGGGAGGACCTAAACTTAGAGTTCCCAAGACAGTGACTCTGCTCCCCAGCGCGACCTGACAGCCCCAGGGTCACCAGCATCACGTCCCAGGCCACACTGGCCCTCAGGAGGCTCTGTGGAAAGAACTATCCCTCCCTGTAGCTCAGCAACACACTTGACCTCCCCAGCCCTCCCCTCTTGACCTCGCATTGGCGGTTGAAAGGATGATAGGAAAAGGACAACAAAGCCAGCTCTTTGGGAGGCTGAGGCAGGATGAGTGAAATTTCAGCCCAGCCTGGGCCCCTTAGTGACCCAGTGAGACCCTGTCCCAAAATTAATTACATACACAATAAAGCTGGGATGTAGCTGGGTGTGAAGGCCCTGGGTTCAATCTTTAGCACCAGAAGGAAAACAAAAAGGCAGACAACAGCCAGAGCAACTCAAAGCTCTGTTCAGCCCGGCAGGCTCAGTCTCTGTGGGGCTGAAGTCCATTGGGTTTGTGGGCCCCCTCGGCCAGGCAGGTTTTGGGGAGCAGAGGAGCCTGCATGTGCTGAGGGCGTCCTCTGGCCACAGCTATATTAAGATCGGTTCCATCGTGCAGCAAACATCTGAATCATCACAAGCCCTGCCAGCCTGGGTTTGAATATGCATGAGAAGCTGCCCAGAAATGACTGAAATATACACGCAACTCACAGAAAGAAAGCAAGCCGGCTCCAGGTGACGGGCGACCAAAGGTGGCCCGGCTGGGGACCGGGTGCTGAGGACCTGTCACAGCAGTGTGCAGATCAGGGAATTACATGGGGCTGCCAGGAAAGCCTCCCATGCCAACAGCTCCTGCATCATTACCCAGGGCTGTCTCCAGGCAGCCAGGAGGCACGGTCAGGATGAGGAACTCTCAACGCTGCATTTCTGAAAATTACACGCAGCTCCTTCAGCCAGGGACATCAGGTTCCACTCTCTTCTCTGTGACTGCGGTGAACAATAATCACATGATCAAAGTCTAAAAAATGGTAGTCTGTGATCCCAACAGTCTGGGAGGCTGAAGCAGGAGGATCTCCAAGTTTGAACCTAGACTAGGAAACTTAGCAACTTAACAAGAACCTGTCTCAAAATAAAATAAGAGCTGGGGATGTAGCCTGGTGCAAAAATCCTGGGTTCAAATCTCTAGTACCATAAATATTTTTTAAAATTGCTACCTGTTAGTTTAAGTTTGGGATCAGCTGATTGTCAAAATATAAAAATAACTATAGGGTGAAAGTAAAGTGCCCAGGTTGGACCTGAAGGTTGGCACTGAGGAGTGAGAGGTGGGGCCGGGGGGTGGCCGTGGGGGACACAGAGGGAGCCATGCCCAAGCCCACACTCAGCGGGTAGAAGAGGGCGCTGTTGAGAGAAGACGTGCTGAGAAACAGAAGCTGAAGCCCATTATGTAACGCGATGGGTTCACTCGAAAAGTAAACAATTTTAAATGTGCAGAGCCGGGGCCGCTGGGAACCATCCCTGCCGAGGGCAGCGCGGAGTTCCAGCTCCTAGGCAGGAGCGAAGCCCTCCGCTCATTCTCTAAGCACTGCCCGAGCAGCGGCAGACTGGGGTTTCAGTGGCCACCTGATCCCAGTTCCCTGTCCTCACAGAGGTCTGGTGAAGGAGACAGAGGTTGGCTACGTAAGGACCCCATAGTTGGAAGCCAGACGGGCAGCGGCGGGCAGCCTCTGACACAGGACAGTGGGGAGGACCCTGGGTACAGCTGGGGCAGGGAAGGGGAGAGGGCTGCGTCTGGTTCCCAGGGGCAGATGTGGGCAGCAGGGGGCGCCCCTGAGGTCCAGTTAACCTGGAACCTGGTCCTTAGGGTCTCCATCAGGGCTTCCTCCATGACCTGCGTTCCAAGGCCTGGTCAGAGCCGCTGAGCCAAACCAATGTTCTGCTTTGGATCCAGGTATCCCCAGAGCCGCTCATAGATGCGGCTTTTGAAAGCTGACTGAAAGCCGTGGGCTTAGAACCCACCCCTGTTAGGAGACAGGGCCTGGTGGAAGGGGCGGTCCTGGAGTGTGGCCTGGAGGGTTTATTTCCCTCCCTGGCTCCTCCCTTCTCTCTCTGCTGCTGGTGCCCCATGATGTGAGCAGCTCTGCTCCGCCAGACCCTTCCACCATCCCACACTGCCTGGAACCAGCCAACCGTGGACAGCAACCATGAGTCAAAATGAACCTCTCCTCCTTTAAGTTGTGAGTGTTGGGTGTTTTGTAACAGCAACAAAAAAGTGATTGATGAGATATGATGTATACATGTACTGATCCCCCAAAGGAGTGAGTTGCTATGTGCCACAAACATGTACTAATCCAAAAAGCAAAGCAAATGAGATGGAAACATTCAAAACAACACAATTCTGACAGTGTAGCCAGTGCGTGTGCCAGCAGGAGCCTGGCCTGGGTGCATCAGCACTTGGGTCTCATCTTGGTCTGGCTTATGCGATGGCACACACAGCCCCACGCGCCCAGCTGTGCCCCACGGCAGGCAGAGGGTGCTGCCGCCGGGGTGTGGGCTGTGGGCTGCTCGGGTGCCCCGGGTCCCGGGTGGAGTCCACACCGCACCTTGGCCGTGTGCACACAGGCAGCACCAGGGCCCCTCCCAGCCAGAGCCACAGCAGCCCCGTCTCCCCGATCTTGGAAGGGCGACAGGGTGCTGGGTGACCGCGACGGCCTTGTCTAGACTCCTCCTTTTGGAAACCCACGCCATCCTCCCAGCTGCGACTTGGGCTGTGTGGAGTGGAGGCAGGGATTTAGGGGGGCGCTTCCACCGCGTATGGCTGGTGACATCCCCAGGGCGGCGCCCAGCGCCTGGTGCCAGAGCTGCCCTCCCACAGGCACCAGGTGGGAGGCTCTGGAAGCTTCTCCTCTCTCATCTCCCTGGAGACGCCAGGAGACACCCCAGATGCTGAGATTGCCTCCTGAGGCCCTGGGAGGGGCAGGCAGCCCCTCAGGGCAGGGTGAGGGGCTGCCCGGGCCCACCTCCAGGACCAGGGCCATCGCCAGAGAGCGCGTGCGCAGTAACGCCAGGCCTGCCTGCTCAGAGCCCCTGGACCCCTGTCTGATGCGGTACCTCCAGGTCCCAGAGGAGAACCACAGCCTCGGGCGCCTCCCACAAAAACCAGATGGAACCCAAACTCCCAAACTCTATGAAACCCGGCATCTGGCCCAAAACAGCACTGTGTAGGAGGAAACACGTCTCTCTTTCCTTAACATGCACAACCTGAGCCAGCTCACAGGCCCTGGGGACACCTTGGCGAGAGGCAGATGTCACCTTCTCAGGAAGCTGGGGTCACCCCAGAGGAGGGGCCGGAAGGGGGCCCACGGGTATCCCCTGGAGGCTCTGGGAGTAAACCTACCTCTGCCACCAGCACTAGCCTTCTGCCCTCTGGGCCTCAGTTTCCCCGTGTGTAAAAATGAGGCAAACCCGCTCAGCCGTTGTCCCGTAGCTGGAGTGAGCAGGGTCTGAGGTCCTTTGCACCCCTCTTCCCTCGGCTCCACTAATTCCTGAAGCTCACCTGGAAGCCGCTGCTCCCGCCCAGGTGGGCAAACTTCAGGTGCAAAGGACCCGGAAGGAACTCAGCCAGGCTTTGGGGCCACCTGGTCTTTGTCTCAGCCCCCAGCTCTGTGTTCAGCGACCCCCAAATCCCAGACAAATAAATACACGTGGCTCTGTCCCAACTTTATTGTGGACACAGAATTGTGCATTTCACATACTTTTTGCCGGTCACAAAAATGTTACTCTTTCTTGGAGATTTTTCCAACCATTTCAAAATATAAAAACCATTCTTCACTCATGGGAGAGACAGAAGCAGGTCAGGGCAGGGGCAGCCGGAGGTGGCTCCTGGAGCCAGAGTTTGTCCGCTCCTCCTCAGGGCCCTGGACCCACAGGAGCACTTGCTGGAAATGCAGAAACAACAGGCACCTGCCAGCTTCACAGATTCAAAATCTACATTTTCACAAGATCTCCAGTGACTCATGTGCTCTTAAAAGTAAAACAAAAACAAAAAAAAAATGAAGGCGTCACTCCCAGAGGTTCTAATTTAGTAGGAGTGGGGTGCAACCAATCAGCAGGAGTTCTTAAAGCTGCCCCGGGGACTTTTCAAGTTCCAGGGCTTGGACTTTGGGAAGACCCCACAGGGACCGAGGGCCCCCCTCCCTGCCCTGAGCCCCCAGGTCTCACCTCTACGTCGCTATCCAAGGCTCATTTGTCCCACGCTGAGCTCTGGGACAGGATTCCCTCTAATTCTAACCCAGGAGGATCAGTAGCTCCCCTCCCCAGACTCAGTTTCCAAACTGCAAGGTGGCTGTGGGCCAGAATTGAGCTCCCCCCCCCCGACGCTGGCCTCCCAGCCCTGCCTGTCCTAGGCTCTCTCTGCAAGGCCTCAGGCCAGCCAGGGCAGCTCTTAGGGGTTCTGGGGAGCACGGGGTCAAAGAGAAGCACTCCCCCATTCGATGGCAGCACCCCTGCAGCCCCACAGCCCCTCACCCACCCTCCCACTGTGTCCCCACTTGCCCAGCCCCCACCTCCCCTCTGATGGCCTCAGGACCCAGCCCTGTCCTGCAGAGAGAGACACACAGCTGAGTCTTAGCCCACTGGGGCAGAGGTGACAGGACCCTCAGAGTCCTCCAGGGACAGCTGAGGACACAGAGTGGCCACCCCACGCCTGCCATGTTGCCTGTCCACCCAAAGCCAGGGACAACCTGTCCTCCCTTGCAGCTCACCCTGAGCACGCGGAGATGACCTCAGCTCTTTCCCCAGGTCCCTGCAGGCCCCCCCCCAGGCGACAGCCGCCACTCTCCCCACCCTCCACCCCACCCCAACAAAAGCATTCACACCCAAGGCTTTGAAGTCCTCACTGGCAGACCTGGAAGGGCCCAGGGAACCACAGGAAGACTGAGCAGTGAGGGGCTGTGTCCCCAGATGGTGGCTGACGGGACGAGCCCCCTCCCCTGTCTACACCTCGGGCCCCTTCCTGTCCCCAGCACTGGCATCTCAGCAGGGTAAGGAAGAGCAGAATTCTGGGGCTGGTGGATGGTGGAAAGCAGGGGACGGTGTGACAATGTCCTGTCCCCACTCCCTGCTCACCCAGCCCAGATCCATGGTGGCCGGGCCGAGGGCCAGTGCTGCTATCTCCTTCCAAGAGCAGAGAAACAGAGCCAGCTGCCATTTATTGAGCACTTACTAAGTGGCAGATGCTGTGCTAAAAACGAGGGTTCTCCAAGGACACTTTTATATCCATGTTTAATAAATCATCAGAATGAGGATCAGAGAGGTTAATCAACAAGCCTTAGGTCACACAGCTAGCAGGAGAATGGTGGAAGATACACTAGCAAAAAGCCCTTAAGCTCCTGCACCTCTGATCTTGTCCTTGCTCCCTGAGCTCAAACCAGGGCTGTCTGATTGTTCCCTGAGCTCAGACAAGGCTGGCAGGGGACCCAGGGAATGGACTTAGGGCTGTCCATGAAGCAGGTGTCTCAGAGAGATTGGGGTGGAAGGATGGGCTGGGGTGCAGGGACGCTCAGCCCCTATCCGCCAGCCCCTGCGTGAGCCCAAGCAGAGCCTGTGGCCCAAGACCACCTGGCATCCCCCAGAAGAAACTTAGGTCTCAGGTTCTCCACCTGTAAAATAGGACACTTGTCTAGCAGGGTTGCAGGAAAGGACAGAAAGAAGTTGTGCAAAAGACCCCACACAGGTGACAATTAAATGGTGACTGCACTGTTCTATGGGCTTTGTGACTTCTCCCCTGCCCCCAACCCTGGGTGCCAGGAGCCAGCTTCACCCCAGAAGGAGGCGGAAGGAAGATGTCACCCGCAGAGCCCCCAGGAACGTGGCCAGGCACCTGACTCCACACCCTGCCCGGAGCGCGTCTTTAATTAGCTCCTCCCTCCTCCTGGCCTGGCCCTGGGGAGTGGCCGAACCACTCTCAGGGTGACACGGAAGCCACAGTACAGAGGGCGCACAGAGCAGGAGCTTTTATTGAAGAAGAACCGAGCCGGCGTGGGCTCCTGCCACCAACCAGGCCCCTGCACACCCCCTAGGCTGCCCTGTGGCCCAGCGCCCCTCCCACCCAGCCTTGCCCCTTACCCAGCCTTGCCCGGCAGAGGAGCCCGAGGGTCTGTTTGGGGGAGGCTTGGGGACACCTGGCAGCCCTTCTCCTCCGCCTCAGGGTCCACACTGCGAGGCCCTGCCGCGGCGCCCGCCCTCCGTCACTTGCAGCTCTGGATCCTGGTCCGGTGGTGCTTCTCCTCCGTCAGCAGGGGGACGAAGGTGTCGCTGTGGGAGAGCTTCAGTCGGCTGCCCCAGCTGGGCGCCTCCTTTCCCGCGGGTTCCGAGGCAGGCAGGGTGTCCAGGTCACTGCGAGAGCCGGGCTTGGCGGCGCCGGCGCTGCCCGAGTTGAGCTCCATGAGCTCCAGCTCGTGCTTGGCGGCGGTCTCCAGCACCCGCTGCTTGTTGTAGTAGCGGACGAAGTTGTTGATGATGGGGTGGATGGGCAGGGCGATGGCGATGACCCCGCACAGGAAGCTGATGGCCGCGTTGAGCTTGCCCAGGGTGGTCTTGGGGTAGATGTCGCCGTAGCCGACCGTCGTCATGGTAATGATGGCCCACCAGAAGGACTGAGGGATGCTCTTAAACAGGGTCTCGGGGTGGCTCTGCTCCATGGTGTAGCCCAGCGCCGAGAACACGAAGATGCCCACAGCCAGGTACATGAGCAGCAGCCCCAGCTCCTTGAAGCTGCGTTTGAGCGCATAGGTGAGGGTCTGCAGGCCCGAGGAGTGGCGCGCCAGCTTGAAGATGCGCGCAATTCGCATGATGCGCAGGGCCTGCACGGCCTGCTGCACGTTGGTGAGCTCCATCATGCGCGCGCCCAGGTGCGTGAGCGTGAGGCTCACGTAGAAGGGCAGGATGGCCAGCACGTCCACGATGTTCATGAAGGACAGCGCAAAGTGGAGCTTGTTGGGCGAGGAGAAGAGGCGCAGCAGGTACTCCAGCGTGAACCAGCCGATGCACGCCGTCTCCACGTTCTCCAGTGTCGGGTGCTCCACGCGGTTGCCCTCCGAGTCCACCACCTGCAGCTCGGGGATGGTCCCCACGCACATGACCACCGACGACACCAAGATGAGCAGGAAGGACAGCACGGCCACCACGCGCGCCGGGCACGACGACTCGGGCTTCTCCAGGAACTTCCACACGCACTTCTGGCAGCGGCGCCAGCGGCCCGCAGCGGCGTCCACGCCCAGGTCGTCCAGGATGAGCTGCACGCGGCGCGCGATCTCCTCCAGCTCCTCCCGCTTCTCGCTCAGGTGGCTTTTGCAGCAGTCGTCCAGGAACTTGAGGTCCACCTTCCAGAAGTCCATCTCGTTCTTGAAGCAGATGGGGCAGATGCCCTTCTTCATGTGCACCTCCCCGAAGTAGTACACCTCGATGACACACTTGAAGGCGTCCGGGTCCCTGTCGAAGTAGAACTCGCGCTTGCCAGGGTCGTAGTCATCGCAGAGGGAGAAGATAGTGTCGTAGCCCCCCGCCAGGCAGTTAATGAGCTCCGCCAGCCGCGTCTCGGGATACCGGCTGAGGAGGTCTCCGTACAGCACCTGCCTCACGCCCCCC